ACCTTCAAAGGGCGCAGTTGGCCAGAAATGAATTGAATAAAGACATAAAAGAAGCAGTTCAGAATCCTCTTCTTGAAACGCTTACTTATGACATGGAAAAGGTTTTAGGATTGCCTAAACTGCCAACAAATATTGTTTATTACAAGAGGCAATTAAGTATCTATAATGAAGGTATTCATTCGGGATCGTCAAACACTCCTTACTGTTTCCTGTGGAAAGAAGGAGAAGCGGGGAGAGGTGCTCAAGAGGTGGGATCCTGTATAAAAAAATTTGTTGAGGTGCATCTTAAAAAAGGAGTGGAGGAGTTAATACTGTGGTCAGACAGCTGCGGGGGACAAAATCGAAATATAAAAATAGTATTAATGTTGAAAACGGTGTTAGTACAGCATCCCACACTAAACAAGATTGTTTTGAAGTACCTAGAATCTGGGCACAGCTATTTACCCAACGATACGGATTTTGGGCAGATAGAACGAGGCCTTAAAAATCAGGTTCGTCTTTATACTTTGACAGACTTCATGTCTGTAATTGGATCTTGTAAGAAAAACAATAAATTTGTAATTACCCTAATGCATACTGACGACTTTTACTCTATCGAAGATATGGAAAACAAAATTTCTAATCGAAAGTTGAGTATTGGTAAAGAAAAAATTAGTTGGTTGAAAACAAAAAAAATAAGAATTGAAAAATCAAAACCGAATTCAATCTTTTTGGCGGAATCACATTCGGCAGAAGAAAATGATTTTAAAGAAGTAGATATATCGAAACCAGTACGAGGAAAGAGACCACAAACCTCTATCAATCCACACCTATTGAAAACGCTTTACCCTGAAGGGAAAGCAATTTCCAAGAAAAAATGGGACGACATAAGGTCATTATTAAAGTTTCTTCCGAAAGATGCAACTGCATTCTACAACATAAAAAAAGTGGAAAATTTTGAAGACGATTTAGAAGGCTTTGGAGCCAATCCGGATTTTGAAGTAGAAATAGAAGGACAATGTTCTGAATCTTAAGAAGTTTATTACTGTACATCTGTTTTATTTTTTGAAGAAATAAACAAATTTTGTTTTTCTATAAAGAGTCCTATCGCATTTTCCCCTTTTATTATAAAGAGAACCATGGTATGTGGACCTTTTTCGAGAAATAAATCAATTGTATCCAATTATTGAAATAGAACCATCCACCAAAAGTTGTTAATTTGTTTATATTTTCAAACTTAGAAAACATGTATTTAATTAATACTGCAATTTACTTACAAATTTGGCGGCGCTGGTAAGAAGCTCATGCAAACACAATTGCAATTAAACAAAAACATGTTCATTTACAAAGCACTAATTTACTCAGATAGACAGTTTGGTACATGGTTCCTTATCAATTAGCATCATCCATTTTGCATTGCTATCTGTCGTCTGCCTGTTGGTCTGTCCGTCTGTTCCTTTGTCTGTCTGTCCGTGTGAACGATAACTTTGTTTAGAAATGTTCGATCGCTTTTACATCTCCGTTAGTTATGAACTGAATTGCATGAAATTCAATATGGGCATAGCTTTAACCATATAATACGCAATGCCAAAAGTTGAAATCGAATCGATTCAAAATTCACAGTGCCCTTTTTCGCATCTCGACCATTTATAAACCGAATTGCAAACTTTTTTACTTATAAAAGTATTTGAATGAAATTTGATACATAGGCACTTGAAATAAAGGAAAATCAAACGCCAATTTCAAAATTTGGTTTTGCGCATGCGCAGTGCCAACTTTTTTATTTATGGAAGAATTTAAACGAAATTTGATACATAGGCACTTGGGATAAAGGAAAATCAAACGCCAATTTCAAAATTTGGTTTTGCGCATGCGCAGTGCCAACTTTTTTATTTATGGAAGAATTTAAATGAAATTTGATACATAGGCACTTGGAATAAAGGAAAATCTAGCGCCAGTTTCAAAATTGTATTTTGCGCATGCGCAGTGCCAACTTTTTTATCTATGGAAGCATTTAAGTGAAATTTGATACTTAGGCGCTTGGAACAAAGGAAAATCTAACATTAGTTTTAAAATTTAGGTTTGCGCATGCGCAGTTCCAACTTTCTTATTTAGAAAAGCATTGAAATGAAATTCTTCTCATAAACTGAAATTGAAGTAACACGTCAAAAATGGATTGCCCATGTGCAACGCTATTTTCATATTTGTGGCCGGATTTTTACGATTTTAACAGAAGTTGCATCTTACAAATGGGAAATGAATGCAAGTGGAAATGCGCTTTATGTAAATCGTTTACGATTACTTTTTAACTTAACGAATTTTCGAGACGAGACTAACCATGAGTCTCGGCGAGAGTCCCGACGAGACTCTCGTTTGGTCTCGAAGTTTTTGTATCTATTTGTACTGTTTTTTTTTAAATTTTTTAGAACTTAATTACCGTAGGTCTTATACAACTGTAATTTTTCTTAAATCCGAGAAGCCTTCGACAGCTTTATTTTATTTTATTGGCGGACAATTGATTTAATAAACCTGTACCCTCATCAATAGCAGTATACCTGCTAACTCAAATAATGATAATTGTCTATGCGGGAAAAACAACATTTAGTTATAATACTTAATAGGATAGCCCAATTGTTTCTAGGTATAGGTACAGTGCCTCAATTTAGAACAGTGGATACAACCGGGTATCTCGTTTTTGATTGGTCGTACGTTCCGGTCGCCATATTGGGGCTAAAATGCTATACTTTGTTTAGTATATGAGTTTACACTTTTCTTTGTGGTCTTGCGAAATTCTGTGAATAAAGGTGCTGCTTAAGGTAAAATGTATATTGTGGACATATGACATCAAAATATGTACAGTTACTGTAGGTATATAGGTACTTCCTATATTTACCACGCAGTTAAGACCATAAAACTAAGATTTTACAAAATAACTTGGACAGATTACATATCTCTAAGTATTTAAGTAACAAGGAATTCAGTGAGACTTTCCTACCTAGTTACATGACCAGATACATTTTATGAAAGCTAATATTTTTTAGCTGCCGAAAATCCTTAAAATACGTATCATTCGAGGCATCATTTCATTATGTTTCGTGATTAGTAGATAAATAAGGAACGTCATTATTATTTGTCATGCCTTCGTGCTTCGTGGTGCCTCTACACCATTTTTGGATTGTGTGGAGAGACCAAACGAGACTAGACGAGATGAGACGAGACGAGACGAGAGTGAACCAGGCCGAGACGAGACTTTGAGTTGGTCTCGTCTCGAGGGCACGAGACGAGACGAGACCTTCGAAAGTTCCGTCTCGCGGCAACACTACTTTAACTAAAACGGTAAAATCAGAGTCTGTAGGTAAAATTAGCAATAAAAGCAAAAGTGTATCTACATAATTTATTACAGAAAAAATAGGGAACAGTTGCAGGTGTAGTATAAAAAGGATTGTTTTCAATCATTTTTATTTGTATTTTCATTCGTTTTACGAGTTTTTACGTTAAAGACGATTTCATATTACAATATAAGGGCGATAGTTACAATTAGTAACCGTGTTCCTGAAACTATTCATTGATGCGGAGTGGAACATTTCATATTGTAGACGTGATCTCGTAAAATTTAACGTAAACAATTTAAGAAGAAGAGTGTGAAGTATGAATAATATAAAAGTATGTAGAGGATTGAGAGGACATTAACTTGAACGATGAGGACTCGGTTGATCAGTAGGTAATTTTAACTAAATATGAATGTTTTATCAAAGAATCACAAGTTTGCGACATAACGTATATTGAGTCCGTTAAGCAGAAGAGGTAGTTACAATCTCAGGTGGATGATTTAGTATTTATAGATTCTAAAGGAGGAAGCTACGAATGAACTCGGAAAGCAATACAAGATTTGGTTTGTATTGTAAAAAGCTGATGGAATTAAAAGTTGCGAAATCGTTTGGCGAGCTCTTCTTTTACAATGTGCTTATTAGGGGTTCTGCAAATAAAAAAAACAGTTTCGCGTTTTACCGCACGTTCGAGTGCGAGAGACTTATGAACTCGTTTGCATTCATTTGTGCGCTGCGGCACGAAAGTTATTGTGCGAAAATTATACCAGGGCATTTAAAACAGTAGCAAACCTACATTTTCTTTTACTACCGTGTGCATGATTACCATTTTTATATGCAAAGTGGCGGGATTTACTGGCACCTTGAATAAATGTATATAGTCAGAAGTTTCTGTTTAAGATTAATTAACTCTCTTTTGGGCAGTGTGCCCTAGTGATGTAAAAGGAATTCTCATTTTATTAAAGTGCATTGTTAAATAACATCCGGACTCCACCCCTATCTAATGCACGAAGGGTTTTGTTACGAATCCACCAATAGGGCAACCGTCTTAAAGGGTTGTACCCCTTGAATCACTAGCAATTATTTTTATACACGTCCGTTATAATAACATTAAAACTGTTGAAAGGCAATTCAACTGTGTTCATATTGTATTTGATAGGCCATTATGAATATATGAATATGAAATGAATTGAAACATTTTTTATACAGTTAAAAGGTTTATGGTTTTAACCGCATTTATTACTATCAATCCGAAGGTGATTTAAAAATTTTGCCAATACAATAGTTGGCGTTTTTATTATTTGAAAGAGCGTTTCTCTAACATGGGTAGGTAGGTATTTTCCCATAACGAAGGGTTTAGTTACAATCAGTGCAATGTACACCTTAAAATGTAAGTGGAGCAAGCGAAATCATAATTTATTGTGACATTGAATTGAAAAAAAAGGAGACAGGCCAATGTTTGAGTAGTATGAGATTAGGTAGCAAGTAATTTATTTGCTTGACGACTTAGGGAGTATTAGCAGGGTTGTAGGACATTGTTGGGCAGACCAAGGCGGGGCTCTTAACAATACAATAACAACCCGCCGGGATGAATTTGGCATGTAATAAAAGAGGGGGCATATATATTTGAATTTTTAGTTTTATTCAATCAGTAGGGTGTCTGCTGCCGTACCCGTGTTTGTGAAATTAATAAAAATGTCAAGATCATTTTTAGTGGATTCACTCATAAGCAATACGCCTAAAGACTTTAGTGCCAATAATAAACATTATATCTCGGAACCAACACGTCCAGCTCTTCCTTACCCGTCAAGTTATATTAGCAGTTACTTATTTTCACTCAGTCTTGCACAACAACACCATCACATGCATTTAAATAATGGTTTAGTGAGTCCACCGTTTGGTCACCACAAGACTCCAATTCGTCCAATAGCATCAGTACCGCGTGGTTCTCAAGAATCCGTAATAAGACAGTGCTCCATTTCACCTCAAAGGTACTCTGATGTACCTCAATCACGGAAGTTATCATCGCCATGTGCAAGTCCTCATGTTAGTCCTACTGAAGTATCGGAAAGTCGCCAATCAACACCATCACCGCCACCCGACAATCATGATTATAACAGCAAGGAATCGTCCAGCACCAAACGGATTAGAACCGCATTTACAAGCACACAGTTATTGGAGCTGGAACGGGAATTTGCGTCCAACATGTACTTGTCCAGGTTAAGGAGAATAGAAATCGCAACTTGCTTGAGGTTATCCGAAAAGCAAGTGAAAATCTGGTTTCAAAATCGTCGCGTAAAATATAAAAAGGAAGAGTTACCGGGAATGGTAAATGGAACACCACCCACGCCGAAGTGTTTCTGCCTTAGAACTTGCAGCAGCACCAGAAAGTCCAAAAATTCAGGTTCCACATGCAGCGACATGGACATAGACGTGATGCACACAGACGACGAATTGGTTCATAATTAAGTAAGCGAGAAAGAAGTATACCTAGTGTTACAGATAATATTTTATAGTTTAATACCAAAGTTTAATAAGATCAAATGTACATATGAATCTATTTTTCTAATAAATTATTTTAAAGTAGCAATGCCGGAGGGAATTTCTTGTGAATGAAGCGGCACTCCTTTTGGCAATCGAAAAGCGGTTTCGACAAAGCTTTCATTCAAGGTGTCAAAGATAAAGTCAGGTTACTTACAAATGGTATCCAAATTTGAAATGTATTAGTACAAATGGTTTTTGTGCTAGTGCTTTCTGCAGCACAGGTAGAAATCGAGTTATGAATGAGTTTACAAAGCTTTTTAAGTGTCAATAGCATTTTATTCAATATAATGGAAAACAACGCGCTTGAGATTCCATTGTGCATTGTGAGTTAGGATCGGCAAAGTAGCTACGATGCGTTAACAGAGAAGCAGATTTTTATTGCAAATCTCATGCCTTTCAATTAAGACATTCCCAATCCCTACCCATTTTGTTTCCCTACATTTTATTGGTAAATCTTTGCATCAAGCAATACTCAATTCCATTAGATTTTTTAATACTGTCGTGCAATCGTCACTAATATATTATACATGGATTTATCTCTTTACCTAACTGCCATAGCGTATTTTAATTTACCCGCATCTCACAACATTATGTTGTACCTATTGGGTTGTCCAATTTCATATTACTAGTATAGGCACAGATTGTGGTATAGATGAGTGCTTTTGAGTTCTGCTGAGATCGTATCCAAAGATACGGTTCTGCTTTATTTCTGACTAGGACTTTCACACAACATTTTTGAGGGTTCTTATTCAACGCTCCTACGCATAGGACTTGCAGCACCGGAAGAAGCGAAAGTATCTCCAACATATTAATACAGTAAGTTGTACTTTGGAATTGCCTGTTAAACATTTACGTAACCGTTTATAAAGTGACCGATTTTGCTTAATGCGTTCGCACCTTTCACAGAAACTCGGAATTAAACAAAAAATAAGGTATTTGTTTAGGAAAAGTAAAATATTCGGAAAAGTGAATCAGTAACTCTTTCATATGTCAAAATTAGACAACATAGCTATTTATACAATAAGTTCCGAAATGAGTGTCTTCGCGACGTGAAAATTGTCCAACGAGGCAAAGCCGAGTTGGACAACACTTCTAGTGATTGAAAAACATCGTTTCGTAACGAATTATATACAAGATTTTTTGTGAAAGCGGAGAATTTGATAATTTTATTAGTATTTTTAAACATTTTGAACAGTAGGCAGGCAATCTGATTGTAAGGCAATGTTTAAATGCATTATTTAATGCCAAGTGTGACGTTAAGGTTGAACGTAGCGTGTTGTCGTCTTTCCCGCAAAGTTTTGCGAAAAAATTACTTCAAATGAGTGATATTGACGAGTCTTTGGATATTGAACAAGCTGCTGAAGCTGCACTATCCACGTTAGTACCCGAAAAATCGAAACATTTATACGAAAAGACCAACGACAAAATTGATTTTAAAGTTTCATTTTTATTTTTAAGCACTAGTGCCTAAAACTTTCACATTTACGCACTAATGCCTAAAAGAGTGTCATTTCGAAATTCTAATCAATATCAAAATTTGTCAATTTCGAAACGCTTTCACAAAATAGTTATTTATATAACAAGAGCGCGAAGTTCAATTTCGCGCATTGAGACTGAAGGTATTTTGACGAGGCGAAGCCGAGTTAAAATATCAGTCAAATGCGCGAAATAACTTCGCGCTAGCGTTATACACAATATTTTTTCTACAACTGAACCGATTGTTAATTAAATTGCTGTTTAAGTTCAACTTTGTCCCGTGCGCGAAATACTTTTTTCTACTTCCATTCGTGAAATGAAATTTCACATATCGATATTAATGTGTAAAGCGAAATATTTAATACCGATGCGTGAAATGCAATGCAATTGTTATGGGATTTATTTCACGCATCGCTGCCATAAGAGCGTACACACTTTTCGACATCGGCATTGTTATGGCGTAGTGTGCTTTGGCTGCAATTCTGACGTTTTGTTATTAGACGCTAGATTTACTACTGTCAATCGTAAGTTCATTATTGTAGCTTTAAGAGACATTTTCAGCACATTAATCTATAAAATTTAGCAGCTATATGATGGATACCGATTTGCCAGGCACCCCGCCTAAAATCACGGCTATAGCCAACCAAGCGAGCACCGCCCTACTACCAGTTAAGTCTTTCACCATATATGAGAACACGTACCAGAAATTTATGGAATGGAGGCATCAAAATAACATTCATTCTTTCTCCGAGAATGTTATTTTAACTTACTTATCTGAGTTATCAAAAAACTTTAAATCTTCAACACTTTGGAGTAGTTATTCGATGTTGAAGAGTACTCTCAGTGTCAAGCAAAACATAAATATTGGTGAATATCCTAAAGTACGCGCCTATTTAAAAAGAAAAAATGAAGGATACAGTCCAAAAAAGTCAAGAGTTTTGGAAAAAGAACAAATTTTGAAGTTTATAAAGGAGGCACCTGATGAAACATTTTTACTGGCTAAAGTAAGTTGTTATAAATGAATCTTTAAATGTGTACTTGTTATGTTTCGTCTAGGTCATTTTAGTATTTGGATTGGCTGGTGCTCTCAGAAGAGATGAAATTTACAAACTAAAGACAACCGACATCCAAGATATGGGAAATATCCTTATAGTGCATGTCCATGACACCAAGAACAAGATTTCAAGGAAATTCACCGTAACTGAACACTTGGAATTATATAAAAAATATGCGTCACTTCGTCCACAAAACTATCCCGAAACCAAAGAAAATTAACCAATGTTTAATTTGTCTGTGATGTTAGTTCAATAAAAAGTTACTTTGTTATATGTATGGTCGTAGAAAAAGTATAGTGTGTAACACGTGCGTGAAGGATTTTGTACACTCTCGTGGTTTGGTTTGCAGCACTCCACGCTCGTGTACAAAATCTCACTTCACGCACTTATTGCACTATTATATAACGATTTCGCGCACGTTGTCAAGAGCAACCTTACTTATTAATTAACCGATTAAAAATCTAGTACTTCGCGTTTCGAAATCCGTCAGAAAATGACAGGGTTTTTTGACAGTTGTAGAAAAATACTTTATTAATTAATGCGCTCCTTTTCATTTCATTTATGCCAACATATTTTTAGGTTGTGGGTTGGACATTTCAATATTTAATTTTGAAATGTCTTGATAAC